CCCCAGCCCTCCCCTGTCGCCCCTCTGAAATTAGCATTCACGTCTCCTCCTGCACTTACCCCGCCTCCGAGAAGTCCCAAACGCAGGACATGAAATATTCAGTTGAAGACAGATTTGAAATTAGAAGGGAGCCAACATTGTATTATTTTTTTGTTCGTTTTTCTTTTTTTTCCCTACTTTTAATGCTGCTGTTCTTTTCTGAGGTTTAAACGCCGGATACCCAGATAAACACAAGGATCTCATTCAAAAGTGGTAAGGAAAGTGGTTGCTGACTCAAATTTCGGAAAGATCCATTGAGCGCTCTCAAGCAGCAGCCCATGTGGCTCATGACAATGAAAGTCACATTTTTCTGAGCTGGAAATCAGTTCAGCTGAAAGAGGTTCAGCGAGTTTGAACATAGGTGTTAGTTTCTAACCTACTGTAAAATAATTCTTAGACGACATTATATTCACAGGCAAGCAGACTGTGTTTTAGCTGACGATAGATAGTATTTTCAGTTGCTTACCCTGTAATGGGCAGGTCATTCATTTTTTAAAAACTTTATTGAGGGTTGACATAATTACCTCATGCATGTGCAATGAAAGGGAGCAGTTTTTAGAACCCTGTCCTCACCCTCTGCCTTTCTCAAAAGAAATAAAAATAAAAATGCAAGACTCTAGGGAGGGCCACATTCTTGCTCTTGAGTTATTGCTAATCCAAATTTTTTTTGCTGAATTAACCCGTGTAGATTCAGATTCCATACGTGAAAGGGTATTGTAAAATAAATTATTTGAACCTGGAACAAAGACTTTGAAATGTACTGTGATGTTTAAAACAGAATTGGCACATTTGGGGCTAGGTAGCATCTGAGATGACAGCATTTTTCAAGACAGCTAGTATGAACCCACTACTTAGTTCTTCTTCAGAAGGCAGGGTTTTCTAAGTGACCTTCAGAGCTCTTGCCTCAAAAACCTGAATATCTCTAATTCTGATTTCACAGCATCTGTGTGTTACCAAATATCTCAGAGGTTTTAGTGAAATTCCCAAATACCAGTTTTAAAAGGAGTTGCGTGGTAGCACTTTCAGGGAGCTCAGACAGGAGTTATTTAATAGAACAGATTAAGAATCACATTAGAGAGTCAAAACCATGTCCTACAGCATTCATTCTCTAAAATGTCACATTAGCACTAAAAATCCTGAATATATAAAATGGTAGTTATTAACTTTATAAAATGGCCTTCATTAGATTGTTAATGACGGTCTGTTAGTTTAACATGAATTTAGCTTGTAATTATTTCCTAAGTGAATTATCCAGCTATATCTGCATTTGCCTTTTGAGTGTTTTGTCTAGCCAGCCAAACAATGCAGTTGATGCTGGCTTAGTGGATGTCTTCTCATTTTGTTCAAATATTTAAAAATGCCCTATTGGCTGGTTAGTTCAGTTGGTTAGAGCACAGCCTTATATATACTATGGTCACAGGTTCAGATCCCCATATTGGCCAGCCACCAAAAAAATAAATAAGTAAATCTTAAAAATTAAAAATGCCCTAGATTTTCTTTAGAAAATGTTTTTGAATCTCCTCCGTAAACTGTAGCTTTTCTAACACAGAAGTTCCCTTATTCTGTTTTCAGTTTGGTGTTAGTCTACCTCGGCTACATGATTTAATTCATAGAATTTGAATCAAAAAGAAACTTGGAGTTTATTTAACCCAGTCTTATCAATTGACAGAACCAGAAAACTGATGAGGATGACACTTCGTCATTGTCTTAGAAGACATACACTGCATTTTTACTTGTATTAAAAATTATAGGGCCGGCCCGTGGCTCACTCGGGAGAGTGCGGTGCTGATAACACCAAGGC